CAAACAGTGACCACGTATGCGTTAAAATCCTCTTATACTCAAGCTGTATATATTATGATTTTTTTCTTGCAATTGACAGGGGGAGCCCATACAGTTTCTCTGTATGTCCATGTTTCTATCAACCCTTGGAGACCTCTGTAGATACTGCTGGCCACTTCTTCCAGCACAGGCTGGCCACCTGTGTCGGAATGAGTGTGCATTTTGGTCAGTATAAAAGCCCAAGCCTCATACGATGTGGGGGGAGGCAGAGTCTCTGTAGGGACGCCCGCTAAGGTTGAGCCTGCCACCTCGCACTGCAATGATGCTTCTCGGAGCTGGTTTGCTGTTAGTCTCCACAGGGTCCTTGTGCCACGTTCTGCACGTGGGACTGTAGTGGGAGTAATGATGGCTTTTGCAGGGACTAAAAAAAAAAAACGGGGGGGAGAGAGAGAGTAATGATGTTACATTTAACTTTAAACTGTCTAACCTGTCTACTCAAGAACTGAAGAACTGATAACCTGGGGGAGGGGGTATATTTGTGTCCTCCTGCCTACAGGTCCATGGTGACTGCAAAGTTTGTCAAGCCTTCCCATGAGCTGGACAGACGAATGGATAAACCTGATGCCTCAGCTACAGGAGCTGACCATGAATACCCCAAGCAGAATGAGATGGAGGAAGAGAAAGAACAAATAACTGCAAAACATCACTTGGGGGCAACTGAAAAGTAACATCCTGAATATGTGTGCTTGTGAAGTAGCTATTGTTAGAGGTTGTGATTTTGTGTATAAAACCACCTGTATTTACTAGCTAGTTGCTAATAAGAAACTGCACCTTGTATTGTATAGATTTGTCACTTGTAAAAGAGATGTTAGAGTATGGAAATTTGCAGTAGCTGCTAGAAAATGCTAAGGCAAAAGCTAGAAAAATTTTAATACAATGGTAGTGTTATAAAGCAGGTGATGGAACAAATTAAGAGGGGGGGGAGAATTCCACTGGTAAGAAATTTCTTTGGCTAGTCCTTCACTGCCATCAGCATCTTCAACATGCTGCTGCACCCTGTAATAGTTACTCCGCTGATGTAAATGTGTGTGTGCCTTGCTGTAGTAGCAACTTTTTACTGGATAAAACAAAAGGGGGGAGATGTGGAGACAGTGTTCTCACAGGAGAATGCATAATTGGTACATAAACTTTGAATAGTCCTGAAAGATACAGCAAGGCCATGAGAGGCCTGAAGAAGCTTAAGCAAGCAAGATAAGAGGCTGGAATTCACCAAGTTAATGAGAACTGTGGACTGTTGGCAAGCTTTCAAGGTTGAGTTCTCACACCTGTGTTTAACCAATTGTATTTTAGTCACTAAGGGTCTTCAAAACATGTATCCAATCATAATATGCCAGATCACTGTAAGTGCTTCAGCCAGGGCCTTGGCTCAACTAAGCAGACTGTGTTGCTGAGTTGCTAAGCAGACAATTCTACATCGAAGGCAATTCCCGATTTGTTTTAATGTTGACTCTGTAAGACATGCTAACACTGCAGAACCTTTTGTTGTTGGAACAGGGACATGGATGTGAAGAGTTTGATGGAATGTGTTGTATGAGTCTCTCTGATTATGCTAATTCGATGCACGCACAGCTGAGAACCCTGGCTCAGCTTACCCAGCAATAGTAAATGAGCAATATCCTAAGAATAACTAGATGGTTGTCTTCACAGGGCATTACAGGTTGAGTCAAACACTGTTGTTTGAAATATTGCACTTATGTATCATTGTTAGGTTAATCATCGTAGCTATTAGACTTGCTTATAGTTGTGTGATAAAACAGGTGAACAGATTAACCCATAATGCCTTGCATGCACAAAGAAAAAGGGGGGAATTGTTGCAGAATGACTCTAAGAGCAGAACCATAGAGTTCTGGAGGACTGTGCAAGCAAGGCAGGGGGTGACCCCCACAGGTGGCCGGAGACTGGACATGGGAGGAGAATGTGGAGGAAGCTGTGTGGGGCTAACCAATACTGTTGTGCCAAGAAGGAGTGGCTGAATACCACTCCTATATATGTGTGAACTGCGTCACAAATAAGGTAGAAGTTGCTTATCACCCATATTGGGTTGGCCTGTCTGCTTCTCCTCGCTGCTTACACTTCAGGAGTGAAAAATCTCCCAAACCCAGGTAATAAAACCGATGGCCAAGTTTAGTGCAGCGTTAATACATTCTGCATGTCAAATGATTAGCAGGTTCCTAACATGGACTAAGGTCAAGCTGCCACAAGTTTATCTTCCTAATTAAAATGTTATTCAGGTCAAACACTACATTTAACTTTGCATTTTGTCTGTTTCAATAGTGTTTCACTGTATGCAAGGACAGCTGGAAATTCATCTACTGCTCTGAGATTAACACAAAGGTCAGGAGGTCTCTCCTCCTGAAAGATATTTTCATTAAATATATCCAAAAAGGATTTCGCTTTTGGTGACCTACAACTGCCTCTTGCCATCCCCTCCTCTGGGATGCCAGGCAACACACAGGGAAAATAGATCTGGGAAACATTTGCTTGGGTTGAGTTTTTTCCAAGTTGAGGACACAAAATGGAAGCGCAGATCTAATTTGGACTCTGACGAGTGCTATTTCTCTGTCTGCCAGAAATGGCTACCTGGAGCCTGCTAAAAGCACTTTGCCAGCATGAGAGAAATACAACTTCTATCCAGGCTCTGGATACAGCCAAGGTGTTTGCTATTAAGTTTGGTGTGAAGCTCCATACCTGCCTGGACAGTCAATTAACCCCATTTATTAATGCAGCCCAGAAGTTGGCCACTGGAAGGTGGACAATAATCATAATGCAAAAAAAGCCCACAAACAACCAAACCCTCTCCCTCAAAAAATAAAAGGGACAGCAGTCACTTCCTGCCAGCTTCTCTCAGTGGATCCCCATCAGCTGCCACCTATGCAAGACTGGTAGCACCGGATCTCACCGACATCGACCCAGTACATTCCCTTTCGGGAGATGGTTGAAGACTCCTGTACTGCTCTGCTAGAGTGCATGGGGAGGAAGCTATGGTACACAAGGAAAGAAAACAAAGCTAAAAATTAAGACTTGTGATGGCAAACAACTTCCCAGACTGCCTTGGGGTGGGAGAGTGGGATGCAGAATTGAGCTGGGAGTCACTTTGGTGCAACTGACTCTGATGCTCATCACTAGTGCATGGGGGGGGAGGGGGAGGAGATGATAGATGCTTTGAGAAAGAGGAGTGAAAGGAGGATGTGTGCAATAAAGCATGGCTTGCAGTTCTAGAACTAGCCACTAGACATGAAAACCAAAGTTTACCCATGACAACTAGCTATCCTTCTACTGTTGCTGCTGCTTTCTCCCCTTCCCGGTATGATTATTCTTCAGTTTGGGAAGCTGTGGCTGTTTGACATGACTGTCAGTTCTGACTCTCCCATCCAAGTCCCTACAGCACACATGGTGACTCACCTAAAGGATGTACAATGAGGTCTGGAAGTCACATGTTAGGCACAGACTAGCTCTGCATTCAAGTGGTGCCTGCTCATCATGACCTTTTGGTGGCCTTTTCTTTTCCTGGTGCCTACTGTGCTGGTTTTCAGTAACACACCTGAGACAATCACATTTTAATGAGGCTTCTTTTGTACCTTCCATTCCCTGATGCAATCTTACCACCTGTATCGCCAATTGTTACTATGGAATGGCTCCACAGGCTACACACAACCAGCAAGATGGGCTCCTTCCAGGAGCAAATTCATCTTTTGCTGGAGCAGCTTTTTACAGAAAGAGAAAGGCTTGGAGCCACCACCAGTTTCTGCTGTCATCTGGGTCTCAGAAACAACAGGAAGAGTTACTTTCTGCAGGCACCAGGGAAAGATGCAGCCTGTCCTGCTGCTGTCCATGCCAATCTGTGATGTGGCTTGCTGCACGGTTGTGTGGGCCATGGTGCTCTGTTCCATGTAATCTCAACTAGTCCTCAGCCTTTGCCTTCTCAGCAAGCTGTCAGAGGAGTGCTCAGCCAGGCAGCATTTAACTGCTGTGATCCTAGAATTGCAACCAGTGTCAAGGGGGTTAAAGGAAGGATGTAGCTGTAGTTTTTTTGGAAGCAATGCAGCAGCTCAGCTGCAAAATACAGGGACCTAAAATACAGATGTCAGCCTCTGTGAGAAACCTGCACCTGGTTAGTTCAGCATTAATCTTCTGTAGGTAATCCCAGGTCACAAAACCCTATGCTAAGTTGCTGGCCCTTCTGCTTCAGGATTTGTGTGGCTCTGTAACAGAGGGGCTTGTCTGATGAGATGTGGCTTGGAGTAATCCCTCACACAGGAAAACCATGAAAGGAAGTGACAAGGGTGCCATGTTCTCCTACGAGATGAAAAGCACCTTAAAATGAACATTTTTCCATGCCTTCCCCTTAGGCTCAACGTTGTCCAGCTTGACCTGATGCGCGGATAGACTCCACAACTCGTTAAAGTTGTAAAGTAGGTATGCTTTATTCAGCGCTGAGGCACAAGGGGGATAGCTCCTCCAAAGGCATGCTCACCTCAGCCTCGTTTCCCCTTTGCATTTATCCACTAAAGTTATACATATGCATGAGGTTGCACAACACGCCTATACATATTCATGTCCTATCCCCACACTAGTGCCTCCTAGTGGTCGTGGGTGAGGGTCTCAAGATGAAGTAAACGAGTCTTCCTCGAGCCTGAACTTTTCACCTCTAGTTGTTACGTATGCTCCCTGGAGGCTTGGTCATTGTCCAAAGCGCAGAGCCAATTTCAGCCAGCTTAGGCGTCCAAAGGACGGGAATCAAGTCACAGTCCCTACCTCTTAACAATAGCCGCGTCCTTATATCTTGTTCTAGCATATATGGTGAGTACGATAAGCATGAACGAGTAGTAACATTGTTAAGCAAGTGGCTTGATCTACCCCCTTGTACATTGTAAGTATGATAAGCATAAGCAAGCAGTAACACTTAAGCAAGCAGCTTGACCTACCCCCCATACATTGGTTAACCCTTCGCATGAGTCCTGTGGCACTGTACATGTATGCAGATGTTTCTTTTGAGACATGAGAAGTAGAAATAGGAGAGTGATGTGAAGAGTCAGCTCTGAAGGGTGATAGAGGTCAAAGCCAGGGTATATTTACAGTGGCATATGCAGCCTGGTGACAAAGCCTGATTCATTCTAGGTAAGAGTGGCCATACTTTGTGTGAGTTTTAAGGGAGAATGGTAAAGGAAGAGCCTAGGCAAAAGTGCCAGTTTATACCCTCAGATCTTTACATGGATGCTAAAAGTAAGAGCACGAAACTGCCATGGGAATATCCCAGAGGAGCCTTTCAATGCTCTCTTCCCTCCCATTAGCACTCGCTATCCCAGTTGCACTCTTAGGTTCCTTAACTCCACTAGCAGGGGATGGTGCTGTTGGGCCACTAAACCTTCTTACACATTCTCTGTGGCAGCATGAAGATTGAGAAGCTAGTTATGCAAGAGCCAGCTGCCAAATAACTGGGAAAGACAACCTTGACAAACATCTGCCCCAAGGCTGTTTAATCTCTACTAACCTCCACCCTGAAGCCTTCTGGCACATGCAAACAACATCAGAAGATGGAAAACAGAGGGAAAGAAGAATTGTGATGCTGTTCTTTGTATACTTTGAAAATACACATAAAACTTCTATAGCATGCTTCTTGCATCTTCCTTGCAGAGCTATCCTATCAATGGTGTCCACCACACACTTGGCAACATCCATGCAGGGTGGTGGTAGCATCTTGGGAAGACAGCTTTCTCCCCTGTGCTGCAGAAGGGAATGGACATCAAGAGGGGATGTGACTTGTCTGAGGTTACAGCAAACACGTAGTATGTGCCAACAGCAGAAAGGGACTCTAGATCTCATTTCTGTGCTCTAACAGTCCAGCAGACTCTCTGCAGTAGTATTTGGCTGCAGTGCCAGCTCAGGGACACAGTGTTTTTGGTGTGTGCATCTGAAAGTGAGCTTTGCTCCTTGCTGGTATTAGCACTGGACTGACATAGATTAACTTGGACAACTGGGATCTGCCCTAGGCTAAGACAGCACTTGACAACCATTCTAGTTACTGATTGTTTTCCTTTTTCTGTCATTCCATGTGGTGCCCAGCTGGGTGCTTCCTTTCTTCAAAAGTATCTCCATGTTTCTGTTGAGTCACATACAGGGTGCTGTACTTTTCAAGCCTCCTGTATGCCATTGTACAGCTTCCAGGCCAGCCCGAGGACAGACTCTGGATGGAGAGGAAAGGATTCTGCTCAGGATAGCAGACCAACGTGGCAGCCACCACACAGCTGAGCAGAGCAGGTTCCTCCTTTTGAGAAAGGAGACAGAGCCAAACCAAAAGTAGCTGAGTCCATCCTGTCCATCGGGGAGCACAGTGTCCTGAAGTCCTTTTCAAAGTCTGTGCAGCAGGCTTGGCCGCCTGCTTTTGGAGTTGCAAGGTATCTGCAGGCAAGACAGCCAGAACAGGATAGCAGACACAGTGGCCAAGTGTACGTGTTGGGGATAAACATGCAGCAATGTCAGATATGAGAGGGGAGGCTGCAGTGCAAAGCTCGGGGTGTAGAGACTGCCTGCACTGGTCTTGTGAGGGAATGGTGCACAATGGGCAGGGCTGCACTCGGTGCTTCCTGGGGGAGGTCCTCCTGCAGCAGGGGCTGAGCTGCGGGATGCTGTTAATAGACTGCGAGATGTCAGGGAAGCTGAGAGCTTGCTCCAGGCCCAAACTGTTCAGGGGCCTCAATCTTCACCTCTACCTCATGAAGGAAAGAAGGAGGCCGTTAACCTGGGAAGCTGGGAATTAGTGACAAAAAAAAAAAAAAAAATCAAAAAAAAGAAGGAAAAGGACAGCCAAGCAAGGGGTTTCCTTCTAAATCTGTTGTCCCTATGCAGAACCACTTTGCTGTCCTGTGGGGGGCTAATAAGGAAACGCACTCGAGCCAGAAACAGCCGGCTGATGCACTGCTAAAGAATATCTCTACTGGTGCTGCTAGGAAAAAGGGTTGGAACTTGATGTTCTTAAGGTCCTTTCCAACCCTAATTATTCTATGATTCTATATGATCTAGTGACCCTTCCAAGGGTTGGTTTCAAGATATGTCTGCTAAGACATCAAATGAGCCTCTGGGATGGTTGCCTGGACATCAGGCTTCTTTCAGCTAAACATTATTATACAACAACCAGAAAAAAGGACTAGATCATCCTATCTAGAGACCTTTCTCAACAATAGGAGGATGCTCCCTCTCACACAGACATGTGGAATTAGTGAGTTTGCAGACTGACTGCAGAGATAGTTGAGTGCTCAGACCCTGGAGTCCAAAATCAGCTCACATTAAAGGGCAAAATTAACAACTGATAAAAGGAAAGGATTTGCTTAAACTCAGGCAATTTAGTGGTGAAAATTGTATAAAATCCTAACAAAAAGCCAGTTTGGCTTTAGGAAGCATCAAATGCAAATTCCTCTGTGGAGGCATCAATATAAGGAAACTATACTATTTGCATGGTGATTTAGATGGACAGCAGTGCAGCCTTTCATACTCCATGGCACTCCTCCCCCTGTATGACTTTCAACTGAAAATAGGGGTTAAGAAGATCATCTGTTTGGTGCAAAGACTGTAACAAGGAACAATTTGCTTTATTGAAAGCAATCTGCAGTTAGGAGAGTCCCCAGCAGCTCTGCAGATTTTAGGGCTTTGTAATGCTGTAACAGAGCGTCAGGGTCTCTGTTCTTTGCTTTTGCCTTCTCTGGGCCATGGCAGCAGAGACAGGATTAAGGAGAGCAGTGCCAGAACAGCCATGCATTTATACACCTTTCTGGCAAGTCACCACAGCATAACGTTCAATGAGGACATGAGGAAAACCTTCTGGCTGAAGCAAAGGTCTGAAAACAAGACCAGGTAGGAAGACCCAGCACAATCTGCAGTTGATGCATACTGCCAGACCATCCATGATATTCCATAACAAGCCAACAAACATGCCCCATGGTTATAACCCGCTTAAGGGACTATGATTCAGAAGGGTTAATGTTCAATTTTCTGATAGCCACATGTGCATTGTCTTAATCATAGAATAGAATCATAGAATAGTTAGGGTTGGAAAGGACCTTAAGATCATCTAGTTCCACCCCCCCTGCCAAGGGCAGAGACACCACACACTAAACCATCTCACCCACGGCTCTATCCAACCTGGCCTTCAACACTGCCAGGGATGGAGCATTTACAACTTCCTTGGCCAACCCATTCCAGTGCCTCACCACCCTCACAGTAAAGAACTTCCTCCTTATATCCAATCTAAACTTCCCCTGTTTAAGTTTGAGCCTGTTACCCCTTGTCCTGTCACTACAGTCCCTAATGAAGAGCCCCTCCCCAGCATCCCTGTAGGCCCCCTTCAGATACTGGAAGGCTGCTATGAGGTCTCCACACAGCCTTCTCTTCTCCAGGCTGAACAGCCCCAACTTTCTCAGCCTATCTTCATATGGGAGGGGCTCCAGGACTTGCTATATCAGCTCCATGTCCTTATGTTGAGGACACCAGAACCACACACCGTACTCCAAGTGAGGTCTCACAAGATCAGAGTAGAGGGGCAGGATCACCTCCTTCGACCTGCTGGTCACCCTCCTTTTGATGCAGCCCAGGATACAGTTGGCTTTCTGGGCTGCAAGAGCACACTGCCGGCTCACGTTCATTTTCTCATCAACCAACACCCCCAAGTCCTTCTCCGCAGGGCTGCTCTGAATCTCTTCTCCACCCAACTTGAAGCTGTGCCTGGGATTGCTCCGACCCAGGTATAGGACCTTGCACTTGTCATGGTTAAACTTCATAAGGCTGTCATCAGCTCACTTCACAAGCCTGTCAGGTTTCCTCTGGATGGCATTCCTTCCCTCCAGCGCATCAACCGAACCGCACAGTTTGGTGTCATCGGCAAACTTGCTGAGGGCGCACTCAATCCCACTGTCCATGTCACCAAAAAAGATGTTGAACAAGACTGGTCCCAACACTGATCTCTGAGGGACACCACTTGTTACTGGTCTCCAAACGGACATTGAACCATTGACCACAAATAATTGCGTGCAGCCATCCAGCCAGTTCTTTATCCACCGAGTGGTCCATCCATCAAATTGATGTCTCTCCAATTTTGAGACAAGGACGTCATGCCAGACAGTGTCAAATGCTTTGCATAGGTCCGTGAAGATGATGTCAACTGCTCTACCCTTGTCCATCTGTTCTGTAGCCCCATCATAGAACGCCACCAAATTGGTCAGGCAGGATTTCCCCTTAGTGAAGCCATGCTGGCTGTCACCAAGCCCCTTGTTGTTTTTCATGTGCCTTAGCATGTCTTCCAGGAGAATCTGCTCCAAGATTTTGCCAGGCACAGAGGTGAGACTGACTGGTCTGTAGTTCCCTGGGTCATCCATTTTCCCCGTCTTGAAAATGGGGGTTATATTTCCCTTTTTCCAGTCATCAGGAACTTCACCTTATGGCCAGGATTTTTCAATTATGATAGATGATATGAAGCTTATCAGCTTCATTTGTCAGCTCATCAGCTTCATTTGCCAGCTCCTTCAGGACCCGCGGATGGATCTCATCAGGACCCCATGGACTTGTGCACATTCAGATTTTTAAGATGGCCTCGAACCAGTTCCTCTCCTGCAGTGGGTGCAAGGACTTCATTCTCACAGTCCCTGTATCTGCCTTCCAAGACTTGGGTGGTGTGCTCAGAGCCTTTGCCATTGAAGACTGAGGCAAAGTCATTAAGACCCTCAGCCTTCTTCAAATCGAGGATAGCCTTTTCTCCCATTTCCTTCTAGAGAGAGCCCACATAAACCCTAGTCTGTCTTTTTTTTTTTTTGCTACATACCTATAGAAGCCCTTCCTGTTATCTTGCACATCACTTGACATACTCAATTCTGACTGGGTCATAGCTTTCCTGACCTGGTCCCTAGCTTCACAAACACTGTCCCTGTATTCTTTTCAGGCTGCCTGTCCTCGTTTCCGCCTTATATAAGCTTCTTTTTTCCCTCTCAAGTTTTCTTTTTTCTTTTTTTGCAGCTCCTCATCCATCCATGGAGGTCTCCTGGCCCTCAGGCTGCACTTCCTTCTAGTCAGGGTACAACACTCCTGAGCTTGTAGCAGGTGATCCTTGAATATCAACCAACAGCCTTGGGCCCCCCTGCCCTCTAGGGCTTTATCACGTAGAACCTTACTAAGCAGGTTCCTGAAGAGGCCAAAGTCTGCTCTCTTGTAGTCCAGGGCAGTGAGCTTGCTGCACACTCTTCTCACTGTCCTGAGGATCTCATGATCACTGCATCCAAGGCTGCCCTGGAGCGTCACATTTCCAACGAGCCCTTCCCTGTTGGTGAGCACGAGGTCAATCATGGCACCTCTCCTTGTCGGCTCCTCTATTAGTTGCAGAAGGAAGTTGCCTTCCACACAATCAAGGACCCTCCTGGATTGCTTGTGCCGGGCCGTACCCTCCTTCCAACAGATGTCAGGGTGGTTGAAGTCCCCCATGAGAACAAGGGCCTGTGAACCTGAAGCTGTTCCTATCTGTCTGTAGAGTGCTTCATCCGCAGATTCTTCTTGATCTGGCAGTCTGTAACAGATCCCCACAGTAATGTCTCCCATCACTGTTTGCCCTTTAACCCTGTTATTTGAGATTTATTTGCTCTTTTAGTTGTTGCGCTTGGTCTCAGAGTTTCATCATGTCATACCTTACTTGCAGCCAGTATTTGCTGGTTTAGTGTTTATCCCTGTAATCTTCCCAGGCTGCCCATCCTTGCAAACTGTCCTTCTCAAACTCAACCATGTCATGGTCACTACAGCTAAGGCTGCCTTGGAGCTTCACGTTTCCAACCAGCCCCTCCCTGTTGGTGAGCACGAGGTCAAGCATGGCACCTCTCCTTGTCAGCTTCTCTATTACTTGCAAACAGAAGTTGTCTTCCACACAATCGAGGAACCTCCTGGATTACTTGTGCCAGGCTTTACCCTTCCATGTGTCTTCCTTTTATAAAACTGGGGGTTATATTTCCCCTTTTCCAGTCAGGAGAAACCTCACCAGACTGCCATTACTTCTCAATTATGATGGATAATGGCTTGGCACAGGACTTAATTTTTTCTGCAACAGACAGAAATTATGACAATGTCTTTGACCCTGATCTAAACCATTCCTTTGCATCCTGATTCGCCTCACTTTTGCTTCCCCCTTTTCCTGGTTTTGTCTGGGATAGAGGTACTTTTCTTCCCAGTAGCTGGTACAGTGCTGTGTTTTGGCTGTAGTCTGAGAACAATGCTGATAACACATTGATGTTTTAGTAACGCTTACCCTGATCAAGGACTTTTCAGTCTCTTATGCTCTTTCAGTGAGGAGGATAACAGGAAGCCGGGAGGAAGCAGAGACAGGACACCTGACCCAATATAGCCAAATATGTTTTCTATACCACAGCATGTCA